AGGCTCTCAGGCCTACACAACGAATTCTGTATTAACTGTCTCAGCTTCTCTTTAACTCTAGATAGAGTGCAGCCAAAGGAAGAAGGGGCACAGGATACTTCAGATTTTGGGTAAGGGGATAGCATGTAAAGAGGAGAAGAGGCATCTTACATCGATCCAAAGTATGACAGAAGCCCAGAGTGAGGCCTACAGGAATGGGAAAGAGGAATGGCTGAGAGTATTTAGGCGAGAATAGATCACAAATATTCTCCTCACACATTGAATGTAGCAAAAAGGACTGAGGAATGGATGCTTATTGAAATTGGGGTATAGCCAATTTGATGGTAAAATAAAGCCTGTATTACACCAAGGGGGTGCTTATATTAAATGAAAAATCAGGATATAAGCTTATATTTTTATATAGTTTTATTGTAAGGTGGCCCGTCTTGTCCTGGAAAGGGAGGTAGTAACAAGCCATGTTGATTCAGCCTCACTGTAGAGTTAATTGAGGGACAAAAAAAGCAAAGGGCATGTTGAGGCTTAGATTTTTTGTTAGGATACCATTGCACCAGAAAAAGAACTCTGGTAGAGCAAAGGTTGGGGAAGAAATTCGAATGACCTGGTCACAGGGTGCTGAACCAGAGGAAGTGTAGCAGCAAGTGAAATTCCCTGATGAGTTAGGAAAAAGAGATACTTCCTCCAAGGCTGGAGAGGGAGGTCCTTTGGAGTCTGGTTGATGTATTGAGAGGAAGATCAATGGGTATCGCAGTCAACAGAGTATGATCCAAACCTGCGCAGAGGAAACATTCTGAAATGTTATTAACTTTGGATAAATTGAGAAGCTGAAGGCCCTGACGTATCAGGGCCATCCATGAGAAATGGTCAGCTTTAGGATGGGCAACTACATCTGGCTGGTGTTGGAGTTCCTTCTCTTGCTCCTAGATGGTTATGTGAATTTGAGGGAACACTTGTATGTAAGTTCTCTATATTCTGATAGAGGCTGAGGAGTGCTTGGCAGAACCCCAAGAATAAATTTACTATCAACACCAGAAGCTCATTTCAGGTCCCATGGGTCCCAAATAGTTAATTTGGTGTAGGCTCGATGCTCATAGCAAGGCTTATCTAGGAAGCATTTCTTGCATGAATTATAAGGGCACCCGCCATAGGTATTAGGCCAGCACTTACAAGATTCCTCAGTTTGGTCTGATATGAAGCATAGTAGCATTGCTGAACATAGGTGGGATGAGGTCGCCCGACTGAATCCAGTAATGTTGGATTCAATCCATTGCAGCCAGTGGAAGGGCAATCACCTTGACCCATAAACTGAGAGCAGGTGGTGCCATCCTGCTGCCTTGTTGCTTGGATATAGAAATGTGAGATTGAGCAGGTAGGACACAAGGAGAGGTGGAGTGACTAGAAAGCTTGAGTTAATTAAGAAAGGGTGCCCATAGAGTAGCTCAAAGGGGCTAAGGCCTGAGAGGTCTCTAGAGATGCCCAAATTTGGGTGAGGGCCAATGGCAGGAGATTGGGCCAAGACAGCTGAATTCAATAGCAAGTTTAGGGAGATGATCCTTGAGAATGCCGTTAGCCCTGTCAATCTTACCTGAGGATTGGGGTCGGTAGGGGATACGGAGCCTCCAAGTGATGTTGAGACCTTTGGAGACTAGTTGAACCACCTGAGAAGTGAAGACAAACCTGGAAATTTGCTCAATGAGGATGGAGGTGACATTGTCAGCAGCTTCCCTGGAGGTAGGGAAGACTTCTGTCCAACTGTAAGAGAGTGCTATCCCCCAAGTCACAAGCAGTTAGATCCTGTGCCAAGAGGTGGGGACTGGCCCTCCCTGAAAGCCTTGGGGTAGGACTGTCCATGTCAACTGTTGAGACCTAAAGGATCCTTCCCATGTGAAGGCAAAGAGGTAATAAGAGTCAGGATGGAGAGGCACTATAAAGAAGGCATATTTAAGATTCAGGACAGTAAAGTGAGTGGTCAAAGGAGGGATATGAAGAAGAAGAGTGTAAGGGTTGGGAACCACTGGGTGGATGGGAATAACCGCTTCATTAATTAGGAGGAGATCTTGGACTAAGCAATAGGCACTTGAGCGTTTGTGTAGCTCAAAGGGGCTAAGGCCTGAGAGGTCTATGGGAGTGTTGTCCTGGGAGTCAGTAGGGATGAAGAGTCCCTGGGCAAGTCGATGACGGGTTTAAATCCCTCTGTGTGGGTTTTGGCTTGAGTAGGGAGGGGGAAGACAGGAAGGTGGGGCTGAGAGAAGCTTGGGTGGATCTGAGAATGAGGAAGAAAAAGAACAGTGGGAAAGTGGTTCCCTACCAAGGAAAACTTTAGCAGTGGAACAGATAGAACAGAGGAGAGGACAGGAGAATATCTCAAAAAGACTGAACGTTTCTGCCCCCTTCCCTGTCTGGCGATCAAACTTGTTCAATTCAGTGAGGGTTTAAAGTCAGAAGTTCCTTCTGGGGGCCATTGTGACTCATTGTCCAAGTCACACTGGGGCCAGGCCACAGTGGAGTAAAAGACTAGGTGGTTACCGCATTAGTCTTGAATAAGTCTTCATCTGGCAAAATTTGAATATAGACATCCAAAGGAGTTTTGGGGTCTAAGGAGGACTCGGTGTTTCCCATGACCTTCTGGCACCCTTGGGGGTGGGTGGGAGCAGAAAAAAGCATCCCAAATTCTGTTCGCACTCAGCCAAGGAATGAATAAGGGCCGGGCAGGGGTTGAGGAATCCCTGAAACCCGCCGGGGGCCCAAATGAATCGGAATGGAATGGCTCACACAAGAACTGGACATCTCCACAGTTCCCAGGGCCTTGAGTGGGACCAGTGGAGGTCTATGGCACGCGTATGATAGACCCCTGTGGATGGAGAGGGTCTGGAAGGTGAAAGGAACAAGGGAACTTACCCCACTCCTGTGGCCCGGATGGAAGGAGAGGAAAGGAAGAAGCAGCTTAGGAGTTTCCTAGTATGTTTGAAGAGGAAAGTAGACCTCTATCCTAGATGTAAGGTATGGGGTAATCCCTCCTGGGTTTTGGCACCAGATGTAAGGTCAGACAGCAGCAACCTAAAGGAGGCAGCTTTAAAAAGGCTGCTGAAGGAAGCTTTGTTGAGATTTCGCTCCCGAGTGGAACTCTCAGACCAGGAGAGTAAGAAGAAGGTAAGAGAAGAAGCGTGCAGGGGCTTGACCAAACTGGAATTTTTATTGGACTTAGGGCAGGAAGGGAGGGCTTGGGACAGGAAAAGGGATTTTTAGAGGTCCTTGTCCTACTGGGATTGGTTGGAGGTAGCTGGCTAAGATCCAGGATTGGCCAGGAGACCCTGCTGATTGACAGGCGATTCCATCAGTGCCTGATTGGTGTTTCTTTCATGTGTGGAGCAGGCTGCTTGGTGCTTTGCTCCTAAGTCACCTCCATCGACCTGACAATTATTAACATGTTTTTTAAAAAAATCAGATAGACAGGAAATAGTATCTGAAAGAAATATACTAAAACATGAAAGGTACTAATGTTACAGGAAATGGACAATGTCTCTTGCAACTTTTTCAAACTTTTATTTGGAGGGTTCCCTGGGATTGAACCCAGAACCTCAAGCATGCTATAAGCATATGCTCTGCTATTAGGTTATACCCCTAGTCCCACCTTCTCTTTTATTTTTCAAAAAATTTTTAAGGTGAAAAATAAAAAAAAACTTTTAAGAAAAATGCCAATACATTACAGGTGAGACTATGCACCATGTTCAGCCAGAGGAATGAGAAGTTGTGCTCCATTTGTGTAGAATGTGTCAAAATGCATTCTACTGTCATATATAAATAATGAGAACAAGTAAAAAAATTTTTTAAAATGCCATACATATGTATCTTACATACACACAGGTCTTTCCCTCAGTGCCTTGGTTTCCTGTCTGTAATAGAATTTAATGTGTTAAGCCCTTAGCAATGCAATGCCTAGACCATGGTCATGGTCAGCACATCATTCCTTTCCAACAGGAAAGACAGTCACTGCATTTGTTCAGGAAAATTTATCATGCTGCATTATGCAACATTCCTGGGTCCTAATCATTATTCTGTGCCTGTAGCAAATGCCAGTCATAGTGACTCTGAAAAAATAATATTACACATTTCCAAATATTTTTGGTTGAAAAACCACATGAGAAAAAAATTATAGATTACAAAGTATAGAAATAGATCTATGAAGGCAAAAGTTTTTTTCTGGCTCTTAACAGAATCTCTCACATGCAAAACAAAACCAAAACAGAAACAATGGAGTGTGGTCAGGACTGGGAATGAAATCCAGGATCTTGGTTTTCTCTATTTGAAACTAATCTCTTGGACTCACTCTGTAGATTAATTTCCTGCATATAAAATGAGGCAGTAGTCCATCAAGAGTCTTTCCAGCTCTAAGAGTGAATGATTTTTATTCATTAAAGAAATACTTGTGCTGAGGTAAATTCTTTCTATGGCAAAGGTGGACACTCCAGACTTGTGAGTTAGGGAGGGGAGGAGTTCTGATTCTATCACTCTCCTCCCTGTAGATGCAATCAAGTGATCCAGAGGTCAGAATGATAAAGCCTAGCAGGAATTTAAACAGCCCCCTGAGCTTTTTCAAATGGAGATTTTACTGGCCTACAAGAGCTCTCAGTGTTGTGTTTTCTCCTTCAGCCTTTCCTGTTTGAATGGTCTACCTGATCCAGAATACTGCTGCATTTCTTCCCTGGTTTGTCTATATTTTGGAAAATTTAGCATTTCAAAGAGTTAATCCTCCATTAGGGAATGTCATTTCTTAAGAAGCAGTCCCATCCTGTTGGGTGAAATGTAAAATGTATATCCTGAATTAGGCATTTTAATTAACACATTATGTACCTTCTTTATTTATAGTAACACTGAAAAGCTACCAAGGCTCTCCTTTAAATGATCGGGGAAACTCAGCAGCTGACCAGAGGTCACACCTGCTCCTAAGCAGTAGAGTCTGACTCCAACTCTTGATGGTAACAGTATTGAAATTAATCAAATGAATCATTTAGACAACTCAAGAAGGACAACCACTCTCTTCCAAGAGAGAATCCAGACATATGTTTATTAAGAGTTAAGAAATGAGACAGGGGATGTCACTCAGTGGTAGAGCACTTGTCTAGCAATGTGTAAGGCCCTGGGTTCAACCCTCCAGCACTGCAAAAATGACTGATAATTAATTAATTAGTTAAGAAATCTACTCAGACAGTAACCCTAATATTTTTTTCCCTGTGTTTCCTGTTCTAAGTGAGAGTGTGTACCAAATCCTAGAACTTGAGTAACTACTGATTACCCTAGGAGAACAACCTTGAAAGAATGCTTAAGGACAGAAATAAACTCATATATTTTATTTTTTTTCGAGGTTATTGTAAATGGGATAGTTTTCCTACTTTCTATTTCTGAGGATTTGTCACTGATATACAGAAATGCCTTTGATTTATGGGTGTTGATTTTATATCCTGCTACTGTGCTGAGTTCATTTACTAGTTCTAGAAGTTTTCTGGTGGAACTTTTAGGGTCTTCTAGGAATAGAATCATATCATCAGATAATCGTGCCAATTTGAGTTATTCTTTTCCTTTGTGTATCCCTTTAACACTCTGGCTAGTGTTTCAAGAACTATGCTAAATAGAAGTGGTGAAAGAAGGCATCCTTGTCTTATTCCAGTTTTTAGAGGGAATGCCTTCAATTTTTCTCCATTTAGAATGATGTTGGCCTGCTGCTTAGCATAGATTACCTTCATGATGTTGAGATATGTTCCTGTTATCTCTAGTTTTTCTAGTGTTTTGAAAATGAAGGGGCGCTGTATTTTGTAAATGCTTTTTCTACATCTGATTATATGATTCTTATCTTTAAGTCTATTGATGTGATGAATTACATTATTGATTTCCTTATGTTGAACGAACCTTTGCATCCCTGGGATGAATCCCTTTGATTATGGTGCACAATCTTTTTGATATGTTTTTGTATTCAATTTGCCAGGATTTTATTGAGAATTTTTGCATCTATGTTCATTAGAGATCAATGTTTATATCAGCATAGTTAACAATAGCTAATCTGTGGAAACAACCTAGATGCCCTTCAATAGATGAATGGATAAAAAAAATGTGGCAAATATACAGAATAGAATATTACTCAGCAATGAATATTTCAATATTTTTATTTTGAAAATAAAATGATAAAGAAAGATACATAAAGCTTAATGATTCATTATAAATATAAATCCCCAAACAGGTTATTAGGTATTATATATTTTGTCTCTCAGTTCTTGTAACTAACTCCATGGATGCAGCAGGGCACCAGGAAGCTCCACTGCAGTAGAAGATTACAAATCTCACCTGTGGTGGCCCAGACTTATAATCTTAGTGACTCAGGAGGCTGAGACTGGTGAATTGCAAATTCAAGGCGGCGAGCCTCAGCAAATTAACAAGGTCCTAAACAGCTTAAGGAGACCCTGTCTCAAAATAAAAAGTCTTTTAAAAAGTAAGAATTCAGATCTAAGAATTGTATATGGAGCAGCCCTAAAGTCACATAAATCGCCACAATTTTATGAGCATATTTTTCTGCCCCCTCATTTAAAAATCACAGAGCATAACTCTTAGGTCGAAACCTTATCAAATCTTAGTATTAAAGTAGGAGTCTGCCAAATTATTCCATCATATAATTTTGATCATTATAACAGCAAAAATAATGTAACAATAGTATATCTTCTCAGAAATTACTTTTAAAAGTTTTTCTTAGTAGAATCATTTCAGTCTAAATTTCCATATTCATTATCTTAAATTCCCACATCAACCCAGTGTATAAAATTTATAATTTTCATTTTAGCAATTCAGGAGCTGAGGTTTACTGAAAGTTCACAACTTATTCAAAGTCCCCCAGCTACTCTCAGTGAGTGACAGACCTGGGGTTCAAATTGCTGGCACTAATGGCAACAACCTTAACACTAGGCTACTTTAAAAAAAAAAATAGAATTACTTTGTATGTGCCAGAGAGAATTCCAATGACTTCACAGTGTGTATAAAATCAAAGAAAGCTTAATGAATATTGACTTAAAAGCTCAAAAGAGTAGAACAACTATCCATAGATATCAGAAGAGTCCTTTCGGAAATTTTTATTTTACTGTGTTTTAGATCTTAGGATGTACATTTTATTATAGATGTACATTTTATTATAGATGGTTTATTGGCCTGCTGAGGGAATTCAGCATACATTTTTAGGTCTATTATTGACATGATACCAAATGGAACATTTACAGAACTGCAAAAATGAGCATGTCATAGTCACTGTCCTTGTGAAATACAAATCTCAGAGCACACAGATGAAGTTGATAGCAGACAGAATGTTGCAAATGTCATGCCAGAAATATGGGCAGTGTTAAGAGAAATTAGCAGAGGAA